ACCAGAAATTGTCACATTTGAGCCTATTGCTGGGGATGTTTGTCGCCTTAGCCAGCACTTCACTACTATTAAATGTTGGTTTTTCCATTCTGTAGGTCAGTCATTGGCTTCACTTTAGCTCCTTGTGGGAAACAGGAAGGTGCTGACAGAAAGTCAGGGGTTAGCTAGCATCCGATGATGGAGATGCTTTTTTCATGTTTTATTTTAATGATCTGAACTTGTATTTTGTCTCTTTATATATGGTACAGAAAGGATTTCAGAACTCAAACTGCCTCAGCTTGCCTACTAACAAGAATTTCCTGAGCCTACCAAGTGTGTCTTAAGTGGCTGTGTCTTTTTCTGTCATTGTAGAGTATCTAGTCTATAATGATGTTTGGGATGTACCTCTTGTTGCGTAGGCCTTTGTATGCCTGATTTTCCAAAGCATAAATGGGTAAGAATCCTTTTAGGAGGTTCCTCCTTTTTAGGAGGTTCATCAAAAAAGATCTTTCAGCACAGACAAGTGAAATCTTCCCTGAAATACTTAATTAAAGAGAGGCTTTCAGGTATGCTAGGAATAAAGTGAGGGAGGAGAGAGTTTGATGAATCATAATTGGGATGCTATTTCAGATGTCTCTTGTACTGTGAATGTGCAAGACACACAGTGAAGGTAAAAATGAGGGTGGGAGGTAAAGGAAAGAAATATATATGCATGTGGAATATGCAGAGCATGGAAGGTTAAACAATGTTTTTAATAAAAACCAAACCACCACCCAAAAAAGGCAGTTTTAAAATAGTACTTATAAAGTATTACCCTTGTCTGGAATAAACTTCATAAGATTATTTATTATCTTAATAAGATAATAAGATTATTATTATCTTAAGGTCCTTTCCAACCCTAACGATTCTATGATTCTATGATTTTTTTTTTTCCACTTGGGTTTGCTTTAGAATCTATTGACTCAGAGTTTTGATAAAATGTATGTGTAATTATGTCTTGAGTAGTAAGCATTCCTTACTGTAGGATCCTACATGATACTAAGGGAAATATAATATCCCCCAAAGCCTTGTGTTAAATAATACCCTGATTTTTGCCAGCAGTACTGCTATCAGAAGTGCTGGGAACAGCCGTGGTACTGTCTGTTGCAAAGCACAGCTTGGAACACTCTGCTGTGGAGTAATTGGGAAGCAAATGCCTTGATGTGTGTCCTGGGCAGCATCAGCAGCAGCTGAGGGGGGAGACAAGAAAGCCAGTGATGTGAATGTGGTGGCTGCTTGGAGGAGGAGTCCTGTGAGTAGGACTCCTTCATGTAAAAAAAAAAAGTATTTTTTCATTTTAATTTGCTGATCTGAATCTTTCTGATTAATCATGAATAGTTCTGTCAGGAGCACAAAGTTTGCTGAGAAGAGGAACTGCTGGATGTGTCAAAAGTCTGTCTTATATTACTTTGATTGGATAGGTCTGTCTTTGGTCTGTGTTTGGAGCTGATGAAAATGCATTTGAAGTCACAAGTGGGAGTATAGTGTGTAAGAGAGGGAGGACTTGATCCCAACTGATAATGAAAAGAAACCCTTAAAGCATAGAGGCCTACAATGTACATGTTTGGGATTTAAGGGCAAAAGTTGATGAATAGAATGAAGCAGAGTTATATGTAGGTTACAGGGTGCTTTGGATATGTATTACAGAGCAGTTGACATCAAACAGTTGTAGTCTAACCTCTGCATTCTCAACACGAATACAATTTGCATTACAGTGATTTGTGAGTAACTATTGGGGGTGCCTCAGAACAGCACAGTATTTAAGATCATTGATGCTTCACAGATTGTAATATTAATAATTTGCTTAGTTCACATGCTTTTGTGGGAGGCGTGTACTTGTGTATGTCTTAAACTTACTGCAGGAATGAAGGCTGCTGAATAGAAAAGAAATTCAGCAGTACTGAATTCAGTAAAATACTCCAAACTGCCTTATTGCAACTCATATTTGGAAGGATTGGTCAGCTGCGGTCTGTTGGCTGATTCAGTTGGTGATATTCCAAACCCAACTATGGGGAGCATGGGGAAAATTCAAAATGAAAGCAGACTGATGGAAGAGAAACAAAGATCAGGAAGATAATTGGAAAGGGAACTTCCTACTTGAAGTGTTCTTTTTATAATACAACTTCTAATTTTCTCTCCGAAGAAATGTGTTCTATTTAAAAACAAGTTGTCATCTGCAGTGACAGTCATGCAGTTAATATTCTTACGGGACTCTTACATAGCCTGCTCCTATTCCACTGTATGAAAAGCATCCTGCCCTGTATCAGCATCAGTGTGGCAGTGGGGACAGGGCAGAGATTGTGCCCCTGCACTGGGCACTGGTGAGGCCGAACCTCAAATCCTGTGCTCAGCTCTGGGCCCCTCACTCCAAGAGAGACATTGAGGTGCTGGAGCAGGGACAGAGAAGGGCAACGGAGCTGGTGCAGTGCCTGGAGCACAAGTGTGATGGGGAACGGCTGAGGGACCTGGGGGGTTCAGTGGGGAGAAGAGAAGGCTCAGGGGGGACCTGATAGCTCCCTACAACTGCCTGAGAGGAGGATGGAGCCAGGAGGGGCTGGGCTCTGCTCCCAAGGAACAAGGGATGGGACAAGAGGAAACGGCCTCGAGCTGCACCAGGGCAGGTTTAGATGGAGCTGAGGAACAATTCCTTCCCCAGAGGGTGCTCAGGCATTGGAACAGGCTGCCCAGGGCAGGGCTGCAGTCATCATCCCTGGAGATATTTGAAAGATGTGTAGAGGTAGCACTTAGGGTTGTGATTTAGCAATTGGACTCGATAATTTTAAGGGACTTTTCCAATCTAAACAATACTGTGATTCTGTAATTCAGAAAGGTTTGCACGGATCCAGGCTCTGGGCTGAATGGAACAAGTTGCATTAGCAAAATAGCTCTTGGTGTTTCCTTCTTCAATATATGCAATGAAAAAAAGATTGCTTAACATACTGCCTTTAATGAGCTTTAGTGAACAGATCCATGACCATCATTAATAATCCCCTTAAATACAGAAAATAAAGAATTTCAAATGAAAAAATTAATATTTTGGAAAATGCAGATATGGCGTGACCTTGTTGGATTCCAGATCTGTGCTGTTTTTGTGGTTAACAACCAAGTGTCTGCATCATTTAAAAACGTGACATATAATGGTGTGCAAACACATGATTATTAGAGAAACGAAGCAACCCTTTGCCATTACCAGTAATGAGACAAGTTGGTGTTTTGCACTGTTAACAAATAAATAACAAGATCTAAATGCCTGTGTGTTGATTGTCCATTTCGCCTTGTCACGTAAATGTGTAAGTACAACCAGTGTTTTTACTTTCAGATGTGGAGTCATTTCTCTGTGGCACTGTTGAGTTGAAGTGAAAGACTCTGCCCTATCAAACAAAGGGATGATGCTATAACACTTCAAAATGAGAGCTGCCTAAACTGTGGGCCCACATTTTGCCATAGATTTTGCAGAATTTAATATTGTATTCCTTCAGAAGCCTGTGTAGACACCATTGCATAGATTTTTATTTTTTTTTAGGTAACTGTATGAGGCTTTAGATTCTAAAAGTGCCTTTTTAAAATATTTCAGAATTTCACCAGATTAGTATATGATTTTAATTTTGCTTTCCAGATAACCCTTTTTTTTTTCACAAATACAATTGTGATTCTTTCCATCACAGTTTATATGACTGTGTATGTCTTAGAAGGAGTAAATAGTATAAAATCAGCAGCAACTTGAAGGTAGTGCCTAGCATTGCCTTTCCCTTTGGCCTTCTGCACGTCATTCAGCATCCAGCTTTTTGTATCTCCTCATAGGAATTCAGTTACTACTTCTCCATCCTCTCTCTTAAAGAGGTTTTGCTGTGAGAGCTTGTCAGTGGAAGGAAGAGGGAATTCTAAAAGCAGAAGTTATATAAATTGAAGGGCAACAATTTTTTTACTCATCCAAAGGAGAAGTGGCAAGAAGGGTTATGGTCAGAAGTGTTTTCATCTAACTTTTTAAGAGTTAATAATGAGTTTAATGAAGTTGATTGTTGAGGTTGATAGGGTTTAGATTTTTTAAGTACATGTGTATTATTTTCTTTGAATGTGAAGTTTCAATGAAACACACTTTTAATATATCAAAAATTAAATTATATGGAATTATAGCTTCATGTTAAATAGTCCTTGTTAACCAAATTTTTGTTTTGACCCAGAATAAACCTGACATTGTAGAGGGTCTTCTCCACTAGTTGAGTTCCTGTTGATTCATTTTTACCAGTTCTTTAAGGCAGGGATTTTTTGCTCTATCGCTGTGGGTTGATTGGATGAGTATTCTGATAGGAGAGAGGGGATTGATTCTCATTCTGCAGTAAACTCAGAAATGGTGCCAGACTTTATCTACCCTGATGGTGGAGAGTACTGAAAGATATGCAGCTCTTAACCTAGCTGATGACTTTCACTAGCCTATTAAGGGAAGAGACATCACATCTGGCAAGAGAAAGGCTTCGGTGTGAAGTCAACAGTTAACCTGTTGATCTGCCCTGTGACCTTCAGCATGTGTGCTCTTGCCGATCAGTCAGGGATCATACGTGCTGCCTCTTGCCCAGTTGGTAATGAGGGAAAATAGGAAGGAATTGGCAATGTTATTCAGGTGTCTGGGGTGGAACTGGAGACTTTATAAAGTGTGAAGGGTAAGATCAAAAAGAATACAGATGTGTGGTGGCACAGGGCATAGAAATTAGGGAAATGCCAAGTTGAATCATCTTTCTACACATAGTGTGTTTCCGCTTGGCTGATGATAAAGTTGATGAGACCTGTGAGGTGATAGTACTGCAGAGGTCTGTCTTTTTTGTTCTTTATTACTATTTTTCTAATCATGCTTTAGAATACGATAGATTTTGTCATGTTTGAATCTGGAAGCTAATTTACCTCTCATAAGGAATACGAGAGTACAAACAGCTTTTGGTGTTCTTATTCAGACCTAGGTGCTGAAGAATTTTGTTCTTGTATTTCAGATACTGAAAAATATCACCTGGTATGCTGAGCGTGTTTTAACAGAGATCTCACTTGGGAGTCTCCTGATACTAGTCGTGATAAGAACCATACAGTACAACATGACGCGGACAAGGGTAAGAGTTTTGTGTAGCGCTTACGCATATCATGTGTGTTTCTAACTTCAACAGCATCAATTCAGTTTCAAACAGGATGCAGGATTTTCTTCGTTCTGTTGCAACCAGTTGGCATTTGAATTTACAGGAGGGAAGGAAATGGGTAGGTCAGCCATATTAACTAAGCACAATGTTAAGTGGTTCTGAACTTGTAACACCGTTTCTACATCATCATCCAGTTCAGTGAGTAGGATTCTCTAAAGACCATAATTCAGACACTGCACTCATCTTCAGATGAGAAGAAAAGTTCCTTAGTTTTATAAGAAGAAATGATTCATACAGGTTTTTTGCCTCTCAAGTTACTCAGAAGGTAGGAAGTTCAGCTGTGCTTGGTGTTAATATTCTATGAAGTAGGACAGTGACTGGGCCCTAAAGGTTTTTTGAGCTCTAGAAAACAAAGCAGTTTCAACTTTATAGCCTCGTATCAGATTGCTTTTGTGCATTTTTCTAGTATTTGATTCTACAACTTATCTCAAACATATAAGCATGGTATCCTGTACTTCTGAGTATATTTAGCAATTGAAGCACAGAAGCTTTTACATTGAAAAGTAGCAAAAAATGTTTAAATATATTTTAAATTGGAAAACTTCAGGGTCAAAACTTACGATCGAAAGAAACTGGGAGAAACAATGCCATTCTTGACATACATTTGTAGGATTTGGAATCTGTCATGTTATGTATATTTTAGATTTGAGTAGGGAAATAAACCCCTATTGGATTGCATAAGTGAAAAGTTTGGTTCTCTGCAAACCCTTGACTTCACTAGGGCCAATATTTAAATGCTTATCTGGACAAATGGTTTTGAGGGTGCTAACAAGGGCACCGGATCTCTGAAGTATCATACGGTTATAGTTGTGGGATAGATAGAATGCTTTGAAAGAGTTTACAGGGGGATGGGCTGTGAAGCAGAAAATTTTAGGATAAGACTACAAAAGGGAGAGAGAGAAAGGGAGAGGATGAGAACGTTTCTCGTCATTTGTTGTATCTATGATGTCATTGTAAATACCATTGCTAACAAAATATATATATGCATCCATATGGACATATACATTCCAAAATCTGAATGAAACAATCATTCTTTTGTAAGCCTTACAGTTTAAGACAACCATTTAAAACATCACCAAGTATATACACTTTGCATTTCTGCTGGATGCTTTTGACTGTGTCCTTTAAAGCAACATGTATTACTCAGTCTTTTGAATGATTCCTGCAATAGGTGTCAGTGTGTATCGAAAGAACAGCTTGATGTAGGTTTTTTCTTTCCTCTTCTTTCTGACAGGACAAATACCTTCATACAAATTGTCTGGCAGCCTTAGCAAATATGTCAGCACAGTTCCGCTCACTTCATCAGTATGCGGCTCAGAGGATCATCAGGTAAATATAAAGACTCTCAAAACTCATCTTTGCAACTCAAGAGTAGAGGAACTTGAATTCTGTATTCCTTAATAGATACCAGTGAAGTAAATAGATGAAATGCTAACTGAATTACTAAGCAATCCTAGAATAAACCAATTTGCTTTATACTTGAATCTATTCTGAATGCACAAAAGATACTTGTTTCTCTGTCTGAGAAACTTCTGAGTCTATTAACAGAAGAGCTCAGTAGCTGTTTTCATACCAGAAGGTTTTCAGGGATTTGTGTGGTGGGTTTATGGTTGGGTTTTTTTTAGTCATGTAGCACCTTATTAAGAAAAGGCACTAGAGTGATTGTTCTCAAATACTATACAGACTGGATTTTCAACTTGCTTTGTTTCTTCCTCCATGTTTGGCAGTAGGTGTATTTGTTAAATCAGACATAACACAATGACCATTTTGTGGTGATGAGGGCAAACACGTGCTTTTCAACTGATAAAGTGTATTAGCCTGTGTAATCACAAGTAGTCAATATCTGCTCTGGTTCTAAAACAGGGCCATAACTTTAAAGAAGTAGATACTGAAGATGCAGATCACTTTGTAAAGGCAGGTAATTATGTGTCCAGCATCCTTCTCATCTTGGCAGCCAGCCCCTCTCCGAGCTCCAGGGAAAACCGGGAAGGTCCTTGTTAATGCGATCTGGAATAAACTGTTAACAGTGCTTGTCAAATACAGACAGTGTGCCAAAAATAAGTAAATGATAATTGCATGCCTGCACACTTTGTAAAGGGCTGGATTAACGAGGCATTGTTCTTAAGCCATTGCTCTTCAGGATTTAATTCTCTGTTGAGTTCCTTCTCTTTTGGAAATGGTTGATTGTAGAAGTATGGACAGCAAACCAGGATGAAAGCGTTCTGCCTTTACCTTTTCCCTTCTGATGCTTGCTCTCTTTGCGTACCTTTTGCAGTGACAGTGGTTGTTCAGAATTTGAATTGCAGCTATTTTCCTGTTACCTAGTACAGACGTAATCTGGAATAATTGCTTCATTTCTCAAATCATAGACACAGAGTCTGAGTTTTCCAAGCTTTTGCAAATGTCGCACCCTGAAATCATAGATCCTGGTGTGGCGTGAGATGCTCTACCTTGAGGCTCAAACACTTGGTCTGTTTTTTGTGTGGCACTTTCCCACTTCAGAGTTTTTTCCAGTGTTCCCAGTTTCTGATTTTGTTCCATTTTATTTTGCTGCGGTTTCTGCAGACCAAAGTAACGTGTTCCTCTGGTAGTTGGAGCAGGAAGAGGTTACCTTGCTAGTAATGTTACAGCCACCTCTACCACTGCTCAGTAATTTTGAGTTCTCTAGACTGACTGCATGTGTATTTCTGAGAGCCTAAAAAGAAGATGGTATTTTATATTACATGAAGTATTTTAGGGTATAGGTTTTTTTAATTAAGTAGCTATGAAACACTTAACTTAAAATCTGCTTAGCAATATAACTGAACAGTTATAATTGAAGCTTTACCAGATGCTCTAATGAGTCCTTCCTTAATGTGAGAAGTAATTCCATTTCCATGCAGGCTTTTTCCTAATCCTGTTCTGAGCATAGACTGCCAATTGTTTTAAATTCTGAAGACTGTTTTCTCTGAAAGAATTATCTGGGAATATTCAATGTAGTGTACTTAAGATCTCAGCAAAATACAGCTTCATAATGTTGGGTAATTTGTGTCACAGAAAGCATGAAAATTGATAGATTTGTATAAATCTATCACAAGCAGCTGCTGGAAGTAAAAATAGATGTAATAGATGTTTTATAGTAAGATCCAAAGCACTGTTCACTTAATGTTGGATGTCTTCTATTGTAGATTACCCTGACTTCATGATCCTTCCCTTCTCTATCCACTGTTAGCACTGGTTTGTTTCTAATTACACAGAGCTGTTTTATCACAGTAGTGCCAAGGGTGATGCTACATTGCGCTGTGTCTCTGTCGTATTTGTGGAGTGCTGACATTTGTAGTATCTTTAAATTATATTGGTAGACTTATTATAAACAAATAAAATGTGTGTTGATGTCATTATTGTCACAAATGACTACCAGAAGTGGCTGTATAATGTCTAAGTGGTAAAGCACAGCCAGGTGGAGTGTTACTTACCTGCAGTGAGTATAGGTTTTTCCTTTGCTTGGTTTCTGTTCTACAAGTCCTGTTACCAAAAAGTGAAGCCATAACTGCAGTATTAGGGCAGGTATTCGATTTGTCTCTTACAACTTCAGTTAGTTGGCATTAATTCCTTTAACCTATTTAGAAACAGCTTTCAGGATCTTTGACTTTCCTACTGCTAGCCTGCCTACTCCAGTATGTGTCACATACTTGGAAATGGAGAATCTGTCCCTGAACAACTGTATTCTGACATCTCATCACCGTGTCAGCCAGTGACAAGAAAATGACTGATTACTTAAGGCAAACACTTTTCCTATAGGTTCATGTGTTGGAATGTTTGCGGTTTTCTGAGCAGACATATACCACTAGAGGTTGCCGTACACCTCGCTAATTAGACATGCACATTTAATGTTAAATGACTTTGTGAGGCTAGAAATACTATCCAGTTTTCTTTTTTAATACGCTATCACCACAGCTGTTCACACGCAGGGCTGTGTGCGCCGCTAAGAACACTTTATCGGTTGCGCTTCTCTCTGTCAGGTGACATAAAGGACTTAAATATCAAAAGATGACACATAATTATATCAGTGCCAGATCCTGCAGACGTCTTTGGCTATCATAGCGAGTTCAGAGGGGTTCACATATGAAGAAAGAGGTTTGTCAGCTGTGACTGCCCCATCCCTGGCAGTGCTCAAGGCCAGGTTGGACACAGGGGCTTGGAGCAAGCTGCTCCAGTGGAAGGGGTCCCTGCCTGTGGCAGGGGTTGGAGCTGGAGGAGCTTTAAGGTCCCTTCCAACCCATACCATTCTGCATTTCTGTGATTCTGTGATCCTCCTGATGGTCACAGGAGTCATGTGGAATCAGGAAAAAAGGTGTACTTAAAAGGGATACAGAGCAGAGACTTGGGCATGCTGTGGGATGCAGTATGTGGTGCTTGAGTGTCATTGTAGACCTGCTGTACCTGTTAGGAGAACAAAGCATGACACCTACAGTTGGCCATGCCTATTCTATGTCTGAGTGGAAGAAGCAGAGATAGCCACCCTACTTCTCACTGGTTGGCCAGCCTGGTAGTTGTATGATACCCTGGAGCATAACGCTGAACACTAGATTTGCTCAATTTTGGGTTTGTCTTCTCTTTTTTTTTTTAAATGCAGCTGTAAGTGTTGTGCTTAAATATCCATGCTTGTAAAGAGAGACTGTATCACTGTGGATCCCCAAGTCTGCCTTCTCTCATCTGGGAGTAGGATGAAGCCTTTCTTTTCCTTTGTTCTCTTCAGCAAAGTCTGCATCAATTTTTAGAGTCAATTATGCTTCTTAAGCGACTAAGAAAAATTCCCATCCATTCTGACAGGTGCTGCTGTATTTGAGAAGTTTCACCTCGCCAGCAAAACCGTTTTGTTTTTGCAGTTTCCTAATTTAGTAATTTAATTTTTCTGATACAGTTTCCTCTTATAGAAGTCTGTCAGGATTTTCTTGAGTGAAGATAATTATGGAGGTTCTTTAAGAACAAGAATACATGATGTTGATTTAAACTACACTTTTTAAACTCAGTTTAAGATTATGCTGGGTTGAAACCTGTGTTTAAGTTGTAATATATGAGTTTGTAGAAATGTTTTATTGCTGCTGCAGTGTATTAAGTGCATGCCAGCTGCAAGTGTCTTTGATCAGCAAATTTCATGCTGGATGAGAAGAAAGCTTACTATCATTAGTCCTGCAGAGAGTAAAAAATACATATAGCATAAGGAGAAAATGCATTTCTCATAAGAGGTCATTTAACTTAATATTTTCTGAGGGAAGTCTCTGAATTTTCATAATAGATGCATGGAGCTCTGTGTTTCATATTCCTTCATATGAAACCATGTAGCTAGTTTTTAAAAATATAGAATCTATAGATTCTATATATCTATATATAGATATAGATATAATCATAGAATAGTGGTTGGAAAGGACCTTAAGATCATCCAGTTCCAACCCCCCTGCCATGGGCAGGGACACCTCACACTAAACCATGTCACACAAGGCTCTGTCCAACCTGGCCTTGAACATTGCCAGGGATGGAGCAGTCACAACTTCCCTGGGCAACCCATTCCAGTGCCTCACCACCCTAACAGTAAAGAATTTCCTCCTTATATCCAATCTAAACTTCCCCTGTTTAAGTTTGAACCCGTTACCCCTTGTCCTGTCACTACAGTCCCTAATGAAGAGTCCCTCCCCAGCATCCCTATAGGCCCCCTTCAGATACTGGAAGGCTGCTATGAGGTCTCCAGGCAGGAGGTCTCCTCCTCCAGGCTGAACAGCCCCATCTTTCTCAGCCTATCTTCATACAGGAGGTGCTCCAGCCCCTGATCATCCTCGTGGCCTCCTCTGGACTTGTTCCAACAGTTCTATGTCCTTTTTATGTTGAGGACACCAGAACTGCACACAATACTCCAGGTGAGGTCTCACGAGAGCAGAGCAGAGGGGCAGGATCACCTCCTTTGACCTGCTGGTCACGCTCCTTTTGATGCAGCCCAGGATACGGTTGCTTTCTGGGCTGCGAGCGCACACTGAAGCCGGCTCATGTTCATTTTCTCATTGACCAACACCCCCAAGTCCTTCCCCTTGGGCTGCTCTGAATCTCTTCTCTGCCCAACCTGTAGCTGTGCCTGGGATTGCTCCGACCCAGGCGCAGGACCTTGCACTTGGCATGGTTAAACTTCATGAGGTTGGCATCAGCCCACCTCACAAGCGTGTCAAGGTCCCTCTGGATGGCATTCCTTCCCTCCAGAGTATCAACCGAACCACACAGCTCGGTGTCATCGGCAAACTTGCTGAGGGCGCACTCAATCCCACTGTCCATGTCAGCGACAAAGATGTTGAACAAGAGCG